GTTATTTGGTTAAATAATAAATATAGTTCAATCAAGTCGTGCTACAGTCGCTGGGATTCCAGTCAAATACGAATCCCTATCGAGGAGTGCTCGACACTGGATTACGCTGAAACTGGGCTATAACCTGCCTGGGGGTTGTGGGTATGACTGGTAAGTTTTTTTAGCTGGAGGCAGAGGAGGCATCACTGATTGTGCGCCTACTGATCTCATCCTGGTTATGCAAACATCGTGTTCTATCGTTTATTATCGTCAAAATTCCAGTTTATCATTAGTCCCGCTTTCAGATGGACGGCTTTCTATCGTATATGGTGTTTGAAAGAGTCTGTATTAAAGGCCACAGGAACGGGAATGGTGAACGATTTACGAGTTTATGATTTCCGTACAACCGAGGAAAGACATAGCCCTGGTGAGTGGATTAGATGTTCACCATTATTCATCATACGTTACTATTTTGTACGCAATTATGGGGTCTGCAGGGAGATGAGGGCGCCTTCCTCCATCACCAAGCGCCGTGTAGTCATGCACGTATCTTCACAGCAATGGGTCTGAGGGGATCCAGTAGGTTCGAGACACAGAGCCCATATTCAGTGAACGAGAACTTAGCACAGCTAAAATGCCTCTCGAGGGAGTTGAGGGGGTGCTAGAGGAAAGATCTTATTAAGCGGCAGTTCGCCTCGCGAAACTTATTACAAAGGTTATGGGTGTGTGGGTATCCGAAGATGGACCTTTGTTTTGTGTTGCAGGAGTGTTACCATTACGCCATCAGGCCCATGTTCTCGGCTCAGCTCTAAAAGCTGAGTCCACCATGAAAAGGCAGCCTCTGAGAAATCAAGGTAGAGGTGTCAGTGGTGCAGGGATGAAGAAAAACCATGAGAAACGGCCCAGAACCCGAGAAATGGGACCTTCTTTGCCCGTTGATTTCCGCATTGATGCGACTCTCATCGGTGCTGCCCTCTTCAACGCTAACGCTCTCTCTGCTAAACGGCTAGAGACCTGCGGCGAGTGGTTAGCCAGTCGGTGGGCGTACCGCGTCGAAGTGGCCATGTTAGGTCGCCCGGGGCGTATCCTTTCCGAAGAACTGTGTGTCGGTCCGCACCTTCAGGGGGTTTTTCTTGTTTTTCCACTGGGTAAGTTTCCCCATCTTCAACCTTCGACCTTATGGTGGAATCTCCTTTAAGTGAGATATTATGGAACCTTTGCATCGTGATCTTCACCCGAAACTGGCAGGAAACACGAAATACATCATAAAATTGAAATATCTTTTGAACTTTCCATCCTATGGTTCATTGCCACTGTCGGTCATTCGGGTAATCACGTTCTACATGGGACTGCTAACAACCCATCGTAGATATAGCCAGTGAAAGCCGCGTTAGGGCGAATGTGGCTCTGGAGGTATGACTGCAACCTTGCCCGGTAAGGCGACGTCCAGCATTACCTACTGCGATACCGTGTTTTGTCCATATTTTAACACCTTTGCGGTAGAGTTTTGTTTATTATCCGAAGGATAGCGCGCGACGCCGAAGCCTATATGGACTTGGTAAGGGGGGGGGGGGGGTATGAAGGCAGCAACCCTTCAGCAACCTTCCAAAAACGGCGATGCCCAGGTTCAATTACCTGCGATACAGTGTTCTGACATATCTTAACACCTCGTGATATTAGCTCTGTTTATTATGTGAATGATAGGACGCTGTGCATAGCAGGTGGGGAAGGCCATCAGAACTAAACTTTTCAGAATTTGGGCTCATTGAGACTCACTGTTTGGCCATGTAGTTCGAACTTTTTACGAAATCATGGCGCATTCCTGAGCGCCTTTTTTCGACACCTAAGTTTTTTATTCTTTATAACACTGTTAACTTTAAGGTTTATGTTTACAAAACATCTCAGGCTGCTATATCACATCGACCACATGGCACGAGAACGGTGTCAAGCAATCGGATTGGATCTTCGAAGAGAGTTTCATAGGAGAGGATCATTGCGTGGCTGTTGGAAGGTAATCTTCTGTTTGACTTCAAACCTGCGACCTTAATTAATTCTTTTTTCCTCGAAAGGATCCTACCATCTGAGCAAACAGCGACAGAAAGAGAACTCGCCCGTTCCACGAAAAACCTGTTCAAAATGGTAACATTTGAGAGTCTTCTGGATGGCAGTTCCGTTATAAATCCACTGGAAGATGAAGGAATCGAGGAATTCGGAATATTTGTTGAAAAACCATTGAAACCTTTTGAGATTGTAACTTGTTCTCGTTATACGTCAAGTCTTTCAATTGCTATGAATGTTCATTTTTCTGATTTGTATAAATTTACACGTGTCCAAATGTTCAACACTGCAGATCACCCATTTAAAGGCAAACCCCGGGATTAGCCTCAGTAGTAGGAAAGGATACCGTGAGGGAACTTGTAGTGTCCTTCCCTACAGAAAGCGTGCCACGCCCGTCGCACAAAATGCGCGGTTAGGGCGCTAATCGTTAAGGGCTGCAACCATCGACCCTTATTGCAACGCTTCCCACCCACCGCATCGATGTGGAGATCAGCGTGCTCTCTCGAACGGCGTGCTCTCTCGCGTGTTTTGTCTTCTTTGATCGCCCTGTCTCGCCATCGTACCACATCCGACCTTACTGAAGGTTAAGGCCTTAATTTTAGCGTTCCGATGGCTTTTCTTGCTTTCCTTTCCACTTTCAGTTCATTTGCAGCTCATCCATCACTATGGTGCGCTCTTATACACCAGTTTTATCCCGGGGTTTGCCTTGAGCATCCGGAAATGCAGTTACTCCATTGATTAACAAAATATAGAGCATTCGTTAACATTTATTTCTTTACTTTTTTGATGCACGCATAGTTGAGCTACAGCAAAAACATAGTTATTGTCAGATCATACAAAAATGAGCAAGCAAAAACAAAAATGACGGCTTACAACTAAAAGTGGGAACCATCTGGACAAAGTGAAGTAAAATGAGATTTTGAGCTTTGAGAGCAGGTCACCCCACCCACTGGCTAAGAACGAAGTTCTGAATAAACTATAGCCAAATCGACAGCGACAATGAGAAGAGAAGTCCAAGAGGATACGGGTGCAGGCCTAATGGAATACACCGTCTAGTTTGCCTTCAGTTGTTTCCTCTTACTAAAATAATTACCCAGACCTGGTGCTTACCCATAAGATTTGAAATAACCGTCAAATAGCGGATGACAGTTACATGGAGCACGTGGAAACTAGGCGCGGTGTGGCAAAGCGGGCTAGTTGTAATAAACATAGTGACGACAGCGTGACCCATGTTTGAGTAATATAATACTAATCACGTAGCGCGGGACATTGTGATGCACATGTGAATCACA